CAGATTCTGTAAAATGACAATTGGTGATGTGAATGGAATTTAAATGAAATTAAAATTAAATGAAATTTAATTTAATTTAAATTAAATTAAATTAAAATAAGATTACATGAATTGAAATGAAAATAAATGATGTGAATGGAATTTAATGAAATTAAATCAGATTTTGTAAATTGAAATGAAAATAAGGGACAGGAAGGGAATTTAATGAAATAAAATCAGATTCCATGAACTGAAATGAAAATTTAATGAAATTAAAATCAGATTCTGTGAATTGAAATGAAAATAAATGATGTGTATGGAATTTAATGAAATAAAATCAGATTACATGAATTGAAATAAGGGACAGGAATGGAATTTAATGAAATAAAATCAAATTACATGAATTGAAATGAAAATAAATGATGTGAATGGAATTTAATGAAATTAAATGAGATTCTGTGAAATGACAATTAGTGATGTGAGTGGAATTTAATGAAATTAAAATCAGATTCTGTGAACTGAAATGAAAATAAATGATGTGAATGGAATTTAATGAAATAAATTCACATTCTGTGAAACGACAATTAGTGATGTGAATGGAATTTAAATTAATTTAATTTCAATTAAATTAAAATAAGATGACATGAATTGAAATGAAAATAAGGGACAGGAACAGAATTTAATGAAATAAACCAGATTCTGTAAAATGACAACTAGTGATGTGAATGGAATTTAAATTAAATTAAATTAAAATTAAATTAAATTGAATTTAAATTAAATTAAAATAAGATTACACGAATTGAAATGAAAATAATTGACAGGAATGGAATTTAATGAAATTAAAATCAGATTCTGTGAACTGAAATGAAAATTTAATGAAATTAAAATCAGATTCTGTGAATTGAAATGAAAATAATGACAGGAATGGAATTTAATGAAATAAATTCCAATTTTGTGAATTGAAATAAGGGACAGGAATGGAATTTAATGAATTAAATTCAGATTACATGAATTGAAATGACAATAAATTATGTGAATGGAATTTAATGAAATTAAAATCAAATTCTGTGAAAAGAAAATAAGTGACATGAAGAGAATTTAATGAAATAAAATCAGATTCTGTGAATTGAAATAAGAGACAGGAATGGAATTTAATGAAATAAAATCAAATTACATGAATTGAAATGAAAATAAATGATGTGAATGGAATTGATGAAATAAAATGAGATTCTGTGAAATAATTAGTGATGTGAATGGAATTTAATTTAATTTAATTTAAATTAAATTAAAATCAGATTGCATGAATTGAAATGAAAACAACTGACAGGAGTGGAATTTAATGAAATAAATTCAGATTC